GGCTATAAATCATGTAACTATATGTGTGTGTATAGATATATATATAGAGAAAGAAGAAATTTAGAAAAAGAAAGAGGATGGCCGAAAGTGGGAAGAGAAGAGAGGGTAGGCAAAGTCTTACAAAGGCTTGAGTAATCCTCATAGTGCCAAGTGTCATCTTTTGGTTGTTTCTAACTTTTGTTCAAGTTACATAAATGCCCCCTCTTGATAAATCAAGTCCACATATGCCCCATAAATATCTACCTCATATATATATATATAGACACACACACACATATACACACACATATATAACATGCCAATTAATAAACATTGAGGAAAAACTGAGAAAAATCCCCGCGCACAAAAGTTGATCCTGATTACGAAAAATTATAAAACCCATCCCGTAATTTCTAACATGCTTAAAATAAATGAAATGCATCCCCAAAACTTCCGAACCCATGAAAATGTCCCAAACGACCTTCGGGACCCATGTGGCACACAAAACGAGGTAAAAAAATAAATAAAAGAAAAAAAACTGAAAAATTCAAAAAAATCTGGGGCATTACTCCCCCGCCACTCAAAAAAAGTGTTTAAGTGAAAACTAGCATCAATATTACACTTCACAACCCAATCCAACGGAGGTATCTAAGTTGATGAGGAGGCAAAGATGATTTCCTGCCCACTTTCGTGTATTTAAGTTAAGTCTTTTTTAATTCCCAAAATCTACACACAACCATACTAACTACCACCTTCAATTTCCACACCTCAGCCTCAAAAACTTTTATATTTGTAGCTTTCCAGATACACCAAGCATAAAAGAGACCAAACCCAAAACAAAATATTTATCTAATGAGGATTCATAATGAGAGACAATACGACATCATCCATCCACAAAAGAATGAAAATGTGCAGAGGAAAAATCAAGTTGAATGGGAGATAATTTCCATACCTAAAAAGAGTGAGGATAACTAAAAATTAAATGAAAGTACATCATCCTCCTCCAAATCGCATATATTACAAATAGAAGAATTTAAGGATCCTTTATACATAAGAGCCTTTCCTATAAGGAGAGCTTCATGATAGCATCGTCATAGGAAATGTTTCACTTTAGAAGGAGTCAGGCATCTCTACACCAGTTTCCAAGGAAAATCAATAGTATTAGAAAATACAGCAGGCGACAATTCATCTCATACATCTCATTAGACGTATCATAAAGAGAGACAGCCAGATGGTGAGCATAATGCATTGAAATTTTTTCGGTAGATTCGGGAATCAGGAGCCCAAATTTGGACATCTTCTTTATTTCAATGATTAAAAGTTATACGGGAAATTGCTTGAACTTCCTTGGGTGGGAATAGTTGCATTAAAACATCCAACTTCCAAGATTTATAGTAGTATCGATCAAATCAGAACTATCTCCTCTCCCAACCTTCTCTCTATCTCTCACATCATATTTCTCCATTGACGATGGACCAACATCATTGTCTTCGAAAACCATATTGTCATCACCACCACCATGTCATTGCTGTAAATCGCCACCACCGACGCTAATTCACCGATCAGGATGAACCACACTCAATCCACCGCAAATTGTTGCCACAAATTGTTTTAGCAGTCGATTTATTCCTCCATAAACACACGAAAGATTGTTGCCGGAATCAATGACACGAAATCCATGGAGCCCCCATTGTCGTCGATGAGGTAAATGCTACGATGGGCGACGACATTGGATAAGTAATGATTGTGCTTTTGATTTTATTGGGGGGTAGAGACGGTGTTGCAGCTTCAACAAAACCTTTAGATAAGTCTATTGGTAGACCTGTCAATGGATCGGATTCTTATCCGAATTCGATTCGATTAGTCGGATATGGACCCGTTTATGATCTGAACCCGATAACCCGTTATCGTAACAAATCGGATATGGATTTTACCGATCCGATCCGAATTAAAACTATATATAATAATATTATATTTATAATCATAGTGTGTGTGTGTGTGTGTGTGTGTGTGTGTGTGTGTGTGTGTGTGTGTGTGTGTGTGTGTGTGTGTGTGTGTGTGTGTGTGTGTGTGTGTGTGTGTTAATTATATACCATTGGATTATTTATTAGTGATCATCTACCGTCAGATCAATAGGTTACATAATCCTATAATGTAGTAAGCCACATATTAACACCTCTCAAATAATATCTCATAAAAGAATCATGATCTAAGAGGGAGAAGAAAGAGACTCAGAGACCAATAGTCTGATACGATTTATAGACGATACCCCTCTAGAGACTTATTTCAAGAGTGAAGCGAAAGAGAAAAAGATCGAGCGAAGCAACGAGCGAGGGAGATCGAGCAACCAAGGGGGTAGAAAGAGATTCTCGATCGGCCGTGTAGTATCATTTTCTCTTGTATTTTCTTTCTCTCTGTTTTTTTTTTTCCTTTATTTTTATCATTCTATGTTTAGATGATGCCCTAATCTGTGTTGTTTCTTTTCTCTTTTGTAAAATTGTTCAATTCTTTCCTCTTGTTTTCCTTCTATTATTCCTATTCTTATTCTAAAATACAAGTTAGAAAAATACAAGTTAGAAGCCAAAAAATTCCATGTTTACATACCCTAATTTGGCCTAATTTGTGTTGTTATTTAATTATTATATGATTTTAATTGCATTTGGCATTTGAGTTTCATTTGTGTATAACTTGCATTTGTAGTTGAGTTTCATTTATTTATGTAAGAGGTAGTTTCATCTAGAGAAGCATGATTTTTTTTTTGTTATTTCATGACACGTAAGGGTAAAATAGACAAAATAATAATAATAATAAATAAATAAAAGGGGACTAAACCTCATGGAGATACGGCGACAAAATTATGGGCATGAGGGATGCCCATGAAGCTCAAAAGAATCTAGCATACAATTTTCATTTTATGAACATTTTCTTTTTTTCATTAGCAAAACACTAGGGGTGGCTACGGATCGGATCGGATTAGGCATCAATCCTAATCTAATCCGCTCGCAACGGATTGGGAGATTCTGAATCTGCCACCACTCCGTTAGCCCATATATCGGATCGGATCCAATCCGCCGACTGAAATTTTCAATTTCACTAATTTCATATTCACTAATTTCACTTAAAAAGCAGTATAATAGAACATAAATTAAACCAATTTAGATGTATAATAGGTGTTTAACTCCATGAATCTCCTCAAACTGTAGTCACATCTGCAAGAGTATAAAATTTTGATTAAATTAACAATAACTCACTAAGACAATTAATTAGTTACTGATGGAACAAAGCTACAAATTCATATTCCAATTACACATATCTCGTTTTAATAAGAATCAATAATTAAGTGATGAAATTATTGGAAAAAAATTAAAGAAAACAAAAGAAAAGAAATGAATTCAAAGATAGCTACTGATGAAACAAAGTAAACAGAAAGGAATTTTAAAAAGAAGAAAAAAGAGTCGGATATGAAATTATTGGAATTTTTTTTTTTTAAAAGAAAACAAAATATCAAACTTCAACATTTAACCAGAAAACCACAACACATTTAAATCAGAATAAGAGAAGAGAATAAACTTTGTGAACTCACCAAAAATGGTATAGATCCAGACGATGAATGTGTCGTTGTTGCGGCCTAGGGTGAACTTAGGTCAACAAATGATGAAGATACTGACAGTGTTGTGGAGAAGGAGACGGTAGAGAAGATCAGAAGAAGAGAGGTGAGAAGATCAGAAAAAGAAGGAGACGACAAAGAAGATAAGCTTTTCTCTTTAGTCTTCTTTGGTTCTTTGGCTAGGTTAGGATTTGATTGAATGAGAGCAACTCCATCAGTGAGCTGTTTGGCGAAAATAGAGTAGCTTTTGGAGATTGCATGCTCCAATGGAATATGGGAAAAGTGGGCCCCAAATTTAGGCTCTTCATGGAGGTCGCCAGAAAGCCAGATTGGGAAAGTGATTCGGCTCACTTTTTGTGGGCCCATTTTTGTTTTATTTTATTTTTTAAATTCAGGCCAGAACACTGTACGAGCCCAGAACACTATTCCTAAGGGCATGTTCGGCTTAAATAAAAGCTAAAATTCAGATTTTTGGCTTACTTTGGTCTCTCTTTTTTTTCCTCAAAATAATTGAACCAAATAGTTGTTAAGGCACTGTTTGGCTGACACAAACAGTGCCTTAAAAGCTTTTTTGGACAAAAAAAAAAAGTTTTAAAAAATTGGAAAAAAAAAGTGATTTTTTTTCGTTTTCAAATTTTTAATGTTTCTATTGACATTATAGCCATTTTAGGTACTATTTAGCTGACCCAAACAGTGCCTTAATAGTTATATTGGTTAACCAAACAATTTTTTTTTTTATTATTTGATTTCCCTAACAAATTAAAATTTATTTTAAAATATGATTTTTTTTATTAAAAAAATATGTCTTTGTTTTCACTATAAATTAATAAATCAAATGATATTAGATATTGTATTCTTTACAAGATTTCATACATATTGGCTAAATAATTTAATCAACAAACAATTTAATTATTTATTTCAAAATAAAACATTACACAATAAATATTCCATTAGATAAACTTCATAAAAATTTAAAAATAAAATAATGCAACGTAAATTAAACACGTTCTTCATCAAAGCGGTTTCAAAAAATTTCAATTAAATCTTTCCTCAACCGTGTATTTGTCTCTTTGTTGCGAATTTGGACTTGGCGAGAGTAGATGTGTATCGCTAAAATTGATGGATTTTGAATTAAAGTGGCAATCGAGATTGTCTCCTCCGGTGACGGAGTCCATCTTCTAATATTGGCATGGTGCTCAGATTCAATGATCATGTTGTGAAGGATAATGCACGTTTTCATTATAAGGTACAAGTCCCCTTTATCCTAAAAACGCACTCGTCCTTGCGTTATTGCCCACTTGCTCTGCAAGACCCCAAAAGTTCATTCCACATATTTCCTACAGGCCTCTTGTCTCTGAGCAAAAAGTTTTTCTTTTGCTGTAGTTGGGTGCGGGATGGTTTGCATCAAAATTGCTCACTCGGGTATATACGTACCATCAACTAGGTAATACCCCATTGTATGGTAATAGTCATTCATAACGAAATTAACCAGAGGAATTTGGCCAGTAATGATACTGTCAAATACCGGAGAATGATACAGCACATTAATATCATTGTGTGAACCCGGCATTCTAAAGAATGTATGCCAGATCCATAAATCTTTTGAGGCAACCGCCTCCAATATGAGCGTAGGCGTATGAGAGCGTCCTTTGTGCGTGCCATGCCACGTCACCGGACAATTCTTCCACTCCCAGTGCATACAGTCGATAGAACCAAGCATACCCAGGAACCCTCTCTCTTCCCCTTCTTGAAGTAGTCGTGCTATGTCGGCTTCGTTGGGTGGGCGCATGTACTCTTCCCCATACACACCAATAACAACCTTACAAAATGTCATCAGGGTTTCAATGGCAGTGTTCTCGTCGATTTTAATATACTCGTCACAATGATCGACTACATAACCATATACGAGTATACGTATTGCAGTTGTCATCTTTTGTATAGAAGACAACCCCAAACGACCTATTGCATCCCTTTTTTGGATGAAGTAGTCGTCATAAGCTTTAACATCATTCAAAATACGAAGAAATAGTTCTCGTTGCATCTTGAATCGTCTGCGAAAGTACTCTGGTAGATATATGTAATTCTCTTCAAAGTATTCTTTCATTAGTTGACGGTGGTTTCCCTCTCGATCACGATGAATGTACCGCCTCTTACGCGGTTTAAAAACTTGCTCTACTATATCTGGGTTCACTGAATTCAAAATCTCACGAAAGGCGTCTTGATTACGTTGAATCATCGAGTCAATAACGTTATCTAATGAAGAGAATGATGAAGAAGATGAAGAATAAAGCCTGACAAAGGGAAAAAAATCTTGATGAGGAAGCCATTGGAATTTTCAGATTGAAAGAGATGTAAATTGATATTTTGATAGAATTGAGATGAATGTAATAATGATGAGATGAATAAATGGTTGTTTATATAAAATGAAAAATATAGCCGTTAGGAAAAAATTAAAAAATAAATTTTATTTTAAATTTTAAAAATGTTAAAATATTAATATTTTTTTAAAACGAAAATGCAACATTGGACTACATGCGATAGTTAAAATTTGGAAACTCTAAAATGCTGATGTGGCTATGGGAAATGCTTATGTGGCTATTGAAAAATGCTGATGTGGCAAATTCGGAGAGCCTAATTTTAGAAAGTCTATTGGAAATGCTCTAAAGAAAGAATAAAGTTAGTCTCGTATGTGAGGTGGTCCCAAACAGTAATATTATATATATATATATTTGCCACGGATTGGCCACGGCCACGGATCGGATTTATGGATCGGATCGGATTTTTAATAGCCTGACCCGTGATTTGATCCGTGAATTACGAATTTAATTTTTTTGAATTCGCCACCGATCCGTAGGTTTACCAATTATATATATATATATATATATATATATTTGCCACGAATTGGCCACGGCCATGGATCGGATTTATGGATCAGATCGGATTTTTAATAGCCTGACCCGTGATTTGATCCGTGAATTACGAATTTAATTTTTTTGAATCCGCCACCGATCCGTAGGTTTACCATTCGGATTCACGGATTCACGAATTTTTTACCCACCTCTACAAAACACACACACACACACATCAATGTCACTTTGTGAAAACTCTAACCCTCACAGTCCTCGAATATATTGTTTGTGTGTGTGTGTGTATATATATTTATATTGTGTGTTAAAATAAAAAAATCACATCAACACGAACATAATAATACTCCCCCCTCCCCCCCCCGGGAAAAAATAATAATAATAACAAAATAAAAATAAATAAACAGCAAACCAAACACCCCCTGTATATTTGACAAAATATAGTACAACTCCTAGCTAGATATTTTTCCTATTGACTACCTTCTTATTTTTTCTTTTTTTCTTTTTTTCTTTTTTCACAACATATTCTCCCACTATCATATTAAAGGAAAAACAATAAACCTGCATATACTATATACCACAATAGCTGAAAAATACTACTTTGGTCCCCAGCAAACGAGGTGCATAAGTTTCTCAGCCTTCTCAGCTTCCCTTGTCCTACGCTTCTCATCCTGGCTGACAGCCTTCTTCACCGGCTCTCCGTTGCCGGAAAACCTTCTTAAGGTAGTACTGGGGTTGCCTGATTCCGACCTGGGTCTCGCCGGAGAAGGCTTGATTCCGGCCATCATCATGCCGAGTGGTGTTGCTTGAGCTCTTGAAAAGCCTGCTGCTGATGTTTCTTGCACCTCCTACCTATAATCTCTATTAACTGATCGGAAGCTAAGAAACGTACAATTTTGAAAGGTTCTTGGGATACTTTAGCACGAGATTTTGAGTCTCGAGTGTCTTATCATTTCACCGCGGAGGCATCTTGAAAGTGAATCGGATTCTATGAAGTGTGCCACGTCTACTTTTATTTAGTGTGATGTATGGAATATATGACAAAGGAATGGGTACGTGGAGTGTGCCACGTCTACTTCTTGACTGTTTTACACTAGTGGTTTTTTGGACCAAAACAAGGGGTGACATTCCCATTGATACTATACCTGTTTGAAACATATTGAGTATATGAGAATATATATATATATATTAGCACCTGAAAATATTTTATTTGAAATATAAAAAACTTTAGTATTCTAAAATATAATGTATTAAATTATTATTTTTATCTAAAAAGGAAAAAAATAAAATTTGAATACCTTATTAATCGAATAATAATAATGAAATTTTAGAATTACTAAAGCATGAAAGAATTTGAACCAGAATTATAGTAATTTAAAGTGGAATTAAATGGTGATGCAAGTAATTTGCAATAAAAAATTAGAATTGCTAAAGCATGAAATAGACCGAATTTGAACCTGCATTATGTTGGCAATATAACTAAGGTCCACCGCATAGCTGACCTGACCCCACAAATATAAGTTTTAAGTGCTAGTAATTTGTAGTTAAACATTAAAATTATTAAAGCATGAAATAGGGTGAAAAAAATCTAATTTTATTAATGAGATAAGTCTCTCTTGTTGAGTATAACTATATTTAAAACTTTAAAAACATTACTAAAAATAATTAAAACATTTAAATAATAATAATAAGAGGTGGAACTAAAAAATTCCTTGGTAGAACCTGCTGCCCACAGTCTGCAGGTGACGGTGAGAAACAAGCCATGGGCGGTTTTAAAAAACCAATAGCTGAAGTAACATTTGGAAACCATCCTTCGGAACAATATTGATTAATCACCTTCTGGAAAAGATGCTATGCACCTTTGTGTTGTTCCATGTTTACATACCTAATTTGCCCTAATTTGTGTTGTTATGTTTTACATACCTAATTTGCCCTAATTTGTGTTGTTATGTTTTTTCTTCTCTCTTTCATAAAATCTTTCAGTTATTTTCTTTTATTTTCCTTCTATTATTCTTTTCTCTCTCAATTTCATTTTTATTATATTTTCTGGTGTGAATATTTTCATAATTTTATCTCTAGAAACTCTCTCTCAAATTTTTTTTTAACTTTTTTTTTTTTCACATTTCCATTGTTCGCAATATTTGTGTTAAATATAAAAGAGAGAACTTTGTATATTGTATTGATATTGATGTATATGATATATGTATACAAGAGGGGTTTATATAGGAGGGGTTATATGTGATGAATAAGTAAACTTTATATGTATATGGTAACTATATATATGGTAATTTTATACAAGGTAAACCTATATATGGTTAATCCTATATAAGGTTACAATATATTATACAATATAGTAATAATATATGAAAAATTATATTTTGGTGATCAAAATTAAATATAATTGCTCTATAGTGACCTTAAAGAAATAAAAGGTGAATAGTGACTAATGTTGAAACTTAATTGATCTTAAGTGACCATTTGAGAATAATTTGGTCAAAAACACTTAAAGATTTGATAAACATTTTAAAAATAAATTTTAGATGACAAAATTGACATCCAATACAAATAATAACTCGTTAAATTCATCCTCCTACTCTCTCTCTCTCTCTCTAATCCAAACGTTTTATTTTTTCCTTTTTAGTTTGCAATTTACCAATTAAAAAAATTAAGGTTTCTTTATCAACATTATCTCTTTTCCACCATTTCTCTATTTTTCAAGACTCTCCACCATGAAAGCAAAAACATTTACAGTGGCAAATCAAGAAAAGAAGTTTCATCATATAGTGCTCTTTATAAAATATTTATAGAGACGGGTCACATAATAATATATTATAAGAAGGTTATTTAGATAATAAACTATTAAATGGTCACTTAATATCAATTAAGATTCAGCATTGGTCACTATTCACCTTTTCTTGACTTTAAAGTCATTATAGAGCAATTATATTTAATTTTGGTCACCAAAATATTATTTTCCGAATAATATATTCTACAATATATTTTAACAGTCCAACTCAAAGTCAAGGTGGATTGAATGAAACCATCTTAAGTTTGGAAATGAGATATTGAAAGCGACGTAGCAGAAGCGATTTGGTGAGGATAGGTTTTCACCCGTGATGAAGATAGAGGCACGATTAACAACTGACGTGACAGGTGATGTAGTGTAATGACCCGGTCATTTGCCTACCTTTCATTTTTCTGAGGTGATGTAGTGTAATGACCCGGTCATTTGCCTACCTTTCATTTTTCTGAAATTTTACGGATAAATTTTTTCCGTTTAATTTTCTTTTCTAAGTTCAGTTTCTCGTCTCATAGTGTCGTCTTGAGTGCTCAGAAATGATTTATAAGACTCTTTCATTTGGATTGACAACTTCCTTCGAGGACCGAATCATTTTCGCATTTTCACTTTTCAGACACTATTCACTTTTTGTCATTTTCCCTATTTCGTCTTTTCCCCTATTCTGTCTTTTCCCCGTGTGTCACTTTGTTGGCAAAACCTCACCTTTCATGCTCAGAGTTAGTTTTTGATTTCACGTGCCTTCATTCTAAGTAGTTTCCACGAAATACGTATCTTTACTTTTGCAAGAAAGTATTCTGGTTACTCCTGGTATCCATAGGGGCATGGATGCATAGTTCTTTGGAATTATTTTCTTTTCTTGAGGTGTTTTTTCATAAATATCTTTTGAAGATATTTTATTTCAAGGGTATTTAAGAAAATATATTTGGAAGATATTTTCATTCTGGGGCATTAATGCAGTTTTTACTTTTTGGAGGGGTCATTGTGCAATTAACGAAAGTTATTGCAAAAATACCTCGTCTGGAGCCTGGATCCTCGTACGGGATTCATTTTCACATTTCATCGAGTCATGTACTCTTAGAATCCGTTCTGATCATTTTTCTCCAGTTTCAGGGTTTCTGGCCCTACTTGCCGCCGAACTTATTCGGGGCATATTTCTCTGCTCGGGACTTGGTTTTTGACGTCGTTTCTTCCGTTGTTCATATTTTCTCATTTTGAATCTTTTTCGTTCAAGGAGGTTCACCGTTTGAGTGCTTCAGCTCGAATTTCACTTTTCCAAACCCGGCGAGGCCTTTTCGTGGCACTTTTTGAGATTTTCTATAAATAGGGGACTTAAAGAGAAAAAGTCAGATTTTCTTCTCTCTCTCCTCTCTCTTGGCCAGCAGCCATGGCTGCCAAGGGGCTTCCATGCTTCTTTTTCTTTTTTCGGCCACTTCCCTCGAGCGAAACATCGTAGTGCTTTAACGTTTAATGCTTGTCTTGACGACGCGCACATTTCACCCTTATTAGAACCCATTTCTGACCATTTCTTGAGTTCGGGTTTGAAGTCAAGTTGTGATTTTCATGGGGCTTCCTTTGAATTCTTGTTCATCGTGTTATCTCCGACAAAACCCTTCGGTATCGTCGGATTCGGAACACTTTTATTTCGGTGGGTTTTTGAGATTTTCATCTCAAATTGAGGTAGGGGGTGTTATAATTTATTTTCTTGTTGTATAGCATGCTTGTGATACTTATACAACTTGTTTACATGCTTGGATATCAAATCTATAATTTTTAATTATTTATTTTTCTTGTATGAGATTTGATTTTCCCGGTGGGTTATAACATGTTTTATACTTGTGGCATGACATTATATTACACCATGATATGTTGATTGACATATATTAAATTTAGAGTATTTAGACAAGTAACGAAGTTTTTATTTAATATTTATTTTAAGTGAAAGATTAAATCATGTGGCCTTAACTAGCTTGAAATCAATGTGTGTTAGCATATTATATTAGGCCCTAGCATGCTCTTCAACATAGGTGAATTTGAGAGTAATCGGAGGTGTTTTAAAATCTAGAGAATATTTAATTAATTGATTAATTAATTTATTTTATGCGTACTATTCACTCCATTTAAATTCCGACTTGATATTCTTGATATGCATGTCAAATAGTTTCACATATAATAAATCTAGAATATTTGATTAAGTTTTGAAACTTTTCATTCATTATTTTTCTAGTATTAAAGTTTAATACTCATGGCCGTGTCTTACTTAGAATTCACTTGTATCATGTTTTTAAATCAAGTTTTGACATGTTGTATAACATACATTAAATTGAGATCATTTGGATGAATTTTAAAACCTAGAGATTTTAATTAAACAAATTAATTAAGATCCATTTAACGGCTCCTTGGTCTTGATTAAGTTTCTACTTGGTATTCATGCTTTCCTTGACAAGTTCCCTTACATCTAACTTGACATTGAACTTGCCCTTTACATGATCCTTGACTTGTCTTGTAATCTTAACAATTTAATCCCTTAAGTAGATTAAATTTCCTTATTTGCTTCCATCGCATTAATCATGCTTTGATATTGAACTCGTGTGAACTTATGAATCGGACTTGTATTTCTTGTACCTTCATTTTTTTATCAAGCATCGTGACTCCTTGTATCTAGGTTTCATTAATGTATTTAATGAACATGCACGTTTATCTTGGAATGGGTTAATTATTCATTTATTGCTTAGTAAATAATTAAATCATTAATCTTATACTTGTGGTATATGTACTTCAATGGATTTCTTATGCTATATATCTTGGTTCTAATCTATATAAATGCATACTTTGATTTTTTGACATTTCACATGCCATTATAGTTGAGAACTTAGGGCATGACTTGTGTGTTCCAAAATCTTGGTTGTGCATGAAACGTGGTTAATGCATTTCTTGTATTTTGATACAATCTTGACTTACACAACTTGTTGATTTTGGGACTTGGGA